ATTTCCATATAAAATAAACTGAATTTTAAAACGTATCCAAAATTAAGAGCATACTTCAAAAGGTTGTCAGATGGTTTTAAAATCAGAATTTTTTTTGATAAAATAAGTAAATATTTAAATGAAGCTCTTGATTCACAATAATATTAACAAAGGTTTGTATCTAAAACAATTTTTCTTCAGTTAATTTAGTATTTGCATTTGCAATTTACAATATTTTTAATTAGATATAATTAATAAATGTTATAAATTATGAAAATGTATGATTGTGGTTGTAGAGAATTGTAAAGAATAGTACATTACTCTTGTTATGTATTATACTATTGTTGATCTTATAAAAAATTTATTGCATATATAAATTTTTAAGTCGCATTTCAGGATAACTGAAACTACAGTTACAGTGATGTATATATAATAAACCGAATGACTGTGCCATCTGAAATTCAAATTTATGAAGCTTTATTGTCGGCTTACGGAAATATAGTAGAAACCTACAATATGAAATGCTTGGAACCCGTTGGAACATATCATTTAAGCAAATAATTCAGCTCTTATATTGTAGATGGCGCTGGCTGTGAAAGGTTTTTCAGGCTGGTAAATGGACTAAAAATGGCGGCCGTTTCAGTCATTTACTAACGTGTTAGGTGTTAGTAAATCATGCTTTTTATAAAAATAAAGAAAAATTACAAGGAAATTGCGATACAATTATCAACAGCAATGTTGTAAAAATGAATTGAACATAAACATACCTATTCCATAATAACTAATTATAATTTCACATTATCATTAACAACTTTGAAAATTTTATTGTAAGGATTAATAAGCAAATTTATTTCAATGAATTCTCTATCATTTTTTATTAACTTTCCCACAATATGACGGCTGTATGTTTGATAATTATTACAAAAAGCATGATTTCAATTTGCAAATTTTGCCATTTTTTAAAATTGACGCGTTATCATGTCATTTTAGTACACCATGTTCACCACCAATACGACATGCAAAGTTGACGAGCGTCTGCAGCCCGGTGAATGACATTTTACAGGTGTTTCAACTCTTTTTAAAATATGGCACCAAAAACAGAATAGTATGTAAAAAATCCACCAGATGTCAGTAGAAGATGAAGTACCTCAAATAAAAATAATGACTGCGAACTGTCAGAAAAATTAAGTTAATTTTATCTTAATCGAGTAAAAAATAAGTCTGTATCCAATTTTTTTTTTAAATAATGGTAATTTATTAATGTCTACTAATCATACTCTATATAACAAATGAAATAGAAAGTGAAAATGAGAAGAAAAATACTATACCATATACTTATAATACTAACCGCTCATATATTTCATCAAAACAAAGTGAGTTCATTGATATTTTTCATCATTTTTGGTGTACAAGACAACAATAATTAAATAAGGAAAATAGTGTGTATTCTTTCCTACAATATTGTAAATATTGTTGAAATGGATTTTGAAAAAATAAGTGTTCTGTTAAGTGCCATTTTGATTTAATGTTTACAGAAGAGTAGGTATTAAATTATAACTGCCACATTTTCGATAATTAATGAACACATTCCAAAGATACATGCTTATTTTGTTACTAGTCCTAAACAATTTCACATGGAGGGATCTCCTAATTGTAATAAAATGTGGTTCTTACAAGGCAAATTTATGAAAAGGGTAGGTACAAAAATTATCTGTAAACCTTAATTACCTACTATATGAATAGGATTGTTTTCAATAGATTCATTAACTTATACAACTTTAATCATTTACAAAATAAATCAAAGGTTTGTAGGTGTAACTACAAACAGACTGATAAAGGAAAACGAAGAAAAGGTAGGTTTTTTCAAGTGTGGAAATTTTATTAGTATTCGCCAAGAGCTTGCATTAGACAGGGAAACAGCTGTTTTGATGTCAAGGTTTTTTGAGCTGATTCTATATCAATTTGTTGTCCTGAATTCAAATAAAGTATTCATTTTTACCTAGGAGCTCAAATTTTTAAGATATACAATTTTAGAGAAATATAAGTTACATTATTTTAACTCAAATCCGTAAGTGTAGTAAACAAAAGTAGATACGAAATTTTTATTTTAGTTATACAAAATACAATATTATGTCGTACTTACAAACAAAAAAAAACATTGAAGAAATCAAATAGTCACTCAACACTTCGAAAGCTTCTTTTCCGCGACATTCTTGAATGTTTTTTAAACAGTCCCTTTTTAAACTCCAGCAGTAATCTGCCATCATGTGCATGTCCCATCTTCCTTGGTAGCGGTCCTCCATAATTTTAATATCTTGGTGAAATCTTTCACCTTGTTCCTCACTCATGTCTCCTAAATTTTCTGGAAAAAGGTCTAAGTGGTTGTGTAAATAGTGTATTTTAATACTCATATTGCACCCTAAGGATTTGAAACTATTAAGCATCTTGTTAACCATTTCAACATAGTTTTGAGCTTTATGTTTGCCTAGAAATTTTTCTACAACTGCAACAAATGATGTCCAAGCTTCTCGTTCAACTTGATTCATTGAATTTATGAAGGCAGGATCCTTAATTAATTGTCTTATTTGTGGGCCGTCAAATATCCCTGCTTTGAGTTTTTCTGTGCTTAACTGATGCATTTTTACCCCTATATATGCAAAACATGACCTATTCTTATCAAGAGCCTTTACAAATTGCTTCATTAAGCCCAACTTCATATGTAACGGAGGATGTATGATTTTTTCTCTTTCAACCAAAGCGTCGTTAATAACATTCTTTTCCCCAACGTCCATGTTTTCTCTTTGAAGCCAATCTTTTCTATCCCAGAGGCACAAAAAACACAGATATTTCATGTAACCACTTTACTACCCAAGAAGAAAGTTTACCATTTTTAAGTCTACACAAATCATCCATTGATGTTCGTGATACTTTATCTTCTGAAAGACCAAAGCTACGGTATTTTATTCTTCTTTCAGTTTCGTTGAGTGAGCTAGTGGTATTGAACCATATTTAATTCCATTATGTAGAAGGACATATTTTAAACTTCGCTTTGAACTGTCAATAAGTAGGCGCCAATCATCTGGAATATATTCAGAAAGTCCCATTCCTTTCATGAGTCCATTAATTTCGTGACAAAATACAAGATTGTCTTCTTGAGAAAAGAATGGTAGAAGATACTTTTCTCTTGTACGGTAGAAGGTAATTTTGGTTCCTTGTTCCAATAAATTTTTGTCGTTCAACCTAGAAGCCAGTACTTCAGAAGCTTTTTTCGATAAATTGAGATCCCTGGTGAGATAATTAAATTCATTTTGATTAAAGCGTTGAGGAACTGATGACGTCTCCTCATAGTCACTGTTTCATTAGCATCAGAACTTTTATTAGCAGAACAGCGATCAGAGGGAAAATATTCGACATCAGAGATATCTGGTAGCTGATGAAATGTTGGAATCGGTATTTCATCTGAGTGCGGGATAGGGTGTATTGCCCAGTCTACACTGGGATAAGTCCACTGTCTGCGGTTATTTCGATTGATTCCTTTAGTATTTACTAAACAGAAATAACAATCATTGAAGTGGTTTTTTGATTCTCTCCAAACCATTGGTACGCCGAATTTTAGACATTTTCTTTTCCCGGTAGTCCACTGCCGTAAATGCTCTGTACAAGTTTTACATGATGCGGGGCCCACTTTTTGTCCTGATCACCAAGGCACAGTTTATAGCTAAATAATCAGTTCGCTCACTCTGCGTCGGCACTTTTGATCTCAAAGTTTATACCCTGCGCAACTCGGATTTGTATCCCTGGCGCATACAGAATCAAATTATAACCAATACAACCGCCTAGATTCAAACAGCAGTCTTCTGCGCATCCTGAATTTGTATCCTCCGAGTTGATGTATTTTGGAACATCCAACTGGTCCGAGTGAGCTAACTGATTATTTTTAGCAATAAACTGTGACCAAGGTTAATTCCAAAATATCCAAGATACGCTCGCTTTACAAAGTCAGTAATAGTTTGTCTGTTTTGTTGAAACATGTATTCTCCGCATATATAGCAAAACACATCAGGTTGATTTTTTGGAACTACGTTGTGTTTGGTACCATATCGTCTTTTGTTTTTATATGGGATTTTAGGGAAGTTGAAACACCTATTGTCTTTCATCGTGGTCTGCAGAGAGGAATGGAGCCGACCGTGCGCGCCTAGAGGCAATTTTCAAAATAATTTTAGTGACAGCTGACAGCTGTCAATTGAAGTTTTATTTGAATTTGTCTTGTTACTCTTGTTTGCTTTGATCTTCGATTTGATGTTAGCACGTGGATAAAGCCTTGTGCTTTGTTTCTTTTTGCTGTATTTTGAGTGTTAATTAATTTATTTTTTTGGATTGTGATATTTTAATAATTTATTTGGAAATATGGAACTGTGTGCACATTGTGGCAAACAATTTTCACATAAATCAGATTTTTATAGGCATTTAAGAAATGTTCATAAAATTGAACCTGTGTTAAAAAACAATATAAAATGTTTGGATTGTGACAGTGTCCATAAAACATATGAACAATTAAGAAATCATTACGTTACCATACATAATTATGAAATTTTTAAAGAAGTTACAAAGTTTAATACAGAAGGTGGTGAGTTGTAATAGTATATTACATTACGAGTGTGGAAAATCACTTTTTACACAAGTGATGTACAATATTTTTCCTAAGACCACAAAATAATTTCATCGAAAAATGTAAAACCAGGTTATTATTATAATAATTAAAAAATATTTAAAAAAATAATCAACAATAATCGTATTTATTCAATTTTGATATTTTCTAAACAAAAAAAAACTAAAAAACAAAAAAAAATAAAAAATAAAAAAAAAAATTCTGCTTCCGACAGGATTTGAACGCGGTCGCTCGCCAGGTCTCAAATGGCAAAGTTGATAAGTTTGACACTCTAACCATCTAAGCTAATAGGCCTGGCGTCAATTGAATGATCTAATCGGTTATGTGTTTAACCAAAATAAAAAGCAAACATAACTTAGTTATTTTAAAATTATTTTAATAATAATTGTTAAAGATAAAGATCTAGGATCTAATTTACAACAATTTAAATAATTTAACAATCATATCGATTTTAGTATTAATATGGACATTACATAGATCAAAATAGAAATGATGTGTTTGACATTTCGTAACAGCTGCTGCGGAAAGTAGCATATTCGTACACGGGTGGAACGTAAATTCTTATTCATACGCGTGTGAAATAGGACACTTTTCATAGGACTATAGTGTGATATGTGTCACTTTCCTAAGTGGTCGTAGGAAAAATATTTATACATAGTATTAACAATATTTAATCACATAATCATTTATTGCAGAATTCGCTACATGGAAAGATAATAAAGAAAAGAAAATGAAATGCTCTTATGTCAAAAACAGTGGAGTTAAGGAGGTCCTTTCGCCACCAATGTTAAATAAAAAATATTAGATTATGACTAAAATTAATTTTTTTCTAATAGTAGATGTCCTTATTTATCTAATAGTGATCTTTTAACCATACCTTACCGTGCAAATTTTTGAGAATTTTTTTTTTTTAAAATGTGTGTTTGTACAGTGTCTTATGAGAAAGTAAGACTTCAACAACAATTTTCGAATTATAATTAATTTTACTATTATTTATTGATTAGATGGAGTAGAAAAAAACTAAAAATAAGGTTTTTGAAATATTTAGGTTTTGTTTTTTACAATAAAATATATAGGTTACCGTGGAATTTATTGAGAAATTATTATTAAAAAATCACAAAAAATTTTCAACTAGGTTACTTGAAAATTTTTTGTGATTTTTTAATATTAATTTCTCAATAAGTTCCACGGTTTACTATATATATTTTATTGTATAAAACAAAATCTAAATATTTCAAAAACCTTATTTTTAGTTTTTTTCTACTCCATCTAATCAATAAATAATAGTATAATTCGAGAATTGTTGTTGAGGACTTACTTTCTTGTGAGGCACTGTACAAATACTCACATATAAAAAAAAAATTCTCAAAAATTTGCAAGGTAAGGTATAGTTAAAAGTTAAGTATTAGATAAATAAGGACTTCAACTATTAGAAAAAAATTAATTTTAGTCATAATCTAATAACTTTTTTTTAACATTTGAGGCGAGAGGTGTGGCGAAAGGACCTCCTTAAATGTAATGGAGATAATTTTAGGACATATTATGTTTGTCATAGATCTCAACGTGTTAATGGTGGTGATAATCATTCTGTAAATAACTCATGTCTTAAAACTAAACAAATAAAAAGTTAAGGATCATCAAAGTTGTCATAATCATGCCCATCAACATTGGACCTTGTATATGAAGCCGGCAAATATACAGCCACCCTATATTTACCCCCATATGGGCCATCCTTGCACATTGACACATATCAACCTAACAAAAATGGAACGTAAACTAATAGCAGGTTTGTAATATGTTTAAAAATATCTGCTTGTTTTATTTTAATTCTTGTTTAATTTGCAGGAATAATTTCTCAAGGTATATCGTTTGAAAAAATATTAGATAGTGTAAAGGCAGACAATAATTTAGAAAGGATTCACCTTCTTGATTGACATGATCTACATAATATTAAAAAAGAGTATTCATTGGAAGTGGATGTGAAAATACATTCAAATGATGCCGGGTGCGCGAAGAAGCGACATCTTGTGACCGCATCAAATCAGGCCCTATCAATGATGAATTACATGTAAAAAATTTTATAAATACAAAATAAAAAGAAAATCTCTGTAAAATATAAGTGTAATACGTGATAAATATTAAATAGATAGTAAATATTACATATCGCGATTAAAAAAAGTAAGTATAAGTAATTTTAATGAGTATAAAATACATTTTATTTTAAATAAAATTAATTTTAGAGTATAAAATACATTTTATTTTAAATAAAATAATGTTGAATAGATAAAGGCCAAAAATAAAGAAGAGCAGCAGAATAGTATTAGGTTAACTGTCAAAAAAAGGTTAGTTTAAAAATTTAAATTATTAATATGTTTTAATAAATTCTCTGCCAATGAACATCATTATTCAAACAGGCTTTGAGGCAATATCTCATGAGATATTGTTTCAACCTCAAACTATATACAAAGGAAAACAACTAGTAAGGGCAGATCATGTCAGAGAAGTGAAAGAATTTAGAAAATGCGGTAAAAGTTATTTAATAACATCAAAAATTATAAGACAAGCATCAGTAACGTTACCACCTTACTTATCATTATATGGGGTCTATTCTGTAGCAATTCCTTTATATTTAACGGCATTTAAAAATATTTTCTCCTTTACTTCTGTCATTATTTAAACGGATCTTTAAAATACATTAGAGGACTATCTTAAAGAAATCTGTTTAAATAATGATAGAAGTAAATTAACGAATAAGAAACTATTTTTAAAGGCCGCCAATATTTTTAAAGGCCGTTAAATATAAAGGAATTGTTACAGAATAGACCCCTATGTAAGTTAAAACTTTTATAAATAATGAAGTATAGAAATTGCTTTGTTGGCAAGAAAAAAGTATGATTAACAAATTTGTATTCTTGCAAAATTTTTCAAAACTCAATAGTATTTGATATAATGGAGTAATAATTAAAAATTAAATGTAATTCAATTTAAATTTTTGTTAAAACTCAAAAACTAATAACCTTAGGAAAATTAATTATTCACCATTCGACGGAGAAAAATGTTCTCTACAAATTAGCAGGAACGAAAAATGTTCGTAAATCCAACCGTTCAGGAGATATTTAAATTATTTTATTAATTTATTCACAACAAAATCCAAATTTAATGACTACTTTGTGCACTGCGAACGCTGTTGTCGATTCGACTGTCCCCACCATATACTTTGCACCTTGCACCTTATGGGTTGAGAGCACTGATCTGTATTATTTTACTGGATAGGATATAGCCCCCTAAAAAACGTTCCGAAAAATTGGCCGATTTGGGCAAATAATATGGCGGACCGGATGTTATTTAACATAACCTCTATTTACATTTGTCATCACTAGGAAGACTGTCATCACATTTGTCATTTAATTGTCAAGAAGTTACGATGAAGACGTGTTTTTATTGTGGAAAACGAAGTAAAAAGAGTATCCGTACTCTTCATAGGTAAATAAAACTATTATATTTACAATAATTTGTTAATAGATTAACTATTTTGTCGAAACAAACTGAAACAATTACTAATTTACACATTATGATACAAGCATACAAGAATACAAATGATTAATTGAAGTGAATTATAACGAATATTACTAAATTAAATAATATTCTTGTTATTTTAGGTTTCCTATAGAATTGGAGCTTTTGGGAAAATGGGTGAAGAGTATGTATATGAACAATTTTAATGTTGTAAGTGCAGGAATGCGATTATATGTTCAGACCATTTTGAGCTATCCTGCATTGATAAAACACAAACGAAAACTGTTTGTAATGCATTTAAAAATATTACTTTATATCCTTTTTACATTAATAAAACTATTACTGTTTAAAAACTTTTGTTTATATATTTTGTTTTATTAGTGTAGATGTACTTTGATTATTCCTTGTGGCATAATATAATAACTGACAATTATTAAAACAGAAATGTCGCCAAGTCAAGAATTATAATAAAAGATTTATACAGTCCGCTTACAATTATTTAACTATTTGAACCAGCAGTTTATACTTTAAACAATTACAAGAAATCTAATTTTTATTTTTTCACCTTTTCCCATGATTTCCTCTATTTCATTTAAAATATATATATATAAATCAATATTTGCATAATTGTAAAAATTATGTAAAGCCTTTAAATTTGTTCTTTATTTAATTGTAAATTACATTCGAATAGTCTATACGTATTTTCGTAGAAAAATTTTTGAATACATATATTTATGAGTTGCACAAATTTCAATGTGGTTTGTATAGTGTAAAAATGGTTAGAGACAACAAAAAGACCATGTATTAAACCTGAAAAAGTTAAAAATGTTAATTAAAATTTCTAATAGTGGTAATAACTAATAATTAGTAAATTTTGTTAGCTTTCCTAGATAATTGTAGGTAATTTAAAACATATTTCAACATCTATATTGTTAAAATTAACTTTGCAATTATTAACTACCTACCTACATTATCTTGCAACTCTTAATGCAAATCTGAAAACACCACTAGATCAGTTCCAATTCTAATCGCTTTAGTTGCATTCCATATTGTTCTATCAGTTAAACATTTTCACAGGTATTGTTTAGATCTACATATTTTAACCATATTTATGTCCCTATTCTTCCGGTTCTATTGTAACAACGACAAACTCACCGATTCTCGTTTCATACTTGTTCCCTAAAGTGATTCGACCATCTGTATAGTTCTAGCTCGAGGCTGTTATTTCTATTACCAATATCTCCTTTTAGTTGTAGTCCCCATAAGTTATAAAAAATGCATAGTGCAGTTTTAAGAATTTTCATTTTCACTATAGGTACTTTAGAACTAATCATTTATCTGCTATTTATGTAGATAGTATCTGATAGCATTACTATGATATACACAATAAACGTTCATTCATGAAGACATAATATGCTTTACGTTTCTATTTTTATATTTTCTTTCATAAAAAATCAAATTATGGGTGAATTATCTCGAAGGACATTGCCCGCAAAAGAAATAGAAGAAGAATAAGAAGAACTAATCTATTTATAGGTTAGATATTTCAAATTATCCCGCCATAATTTGCCCAAATCGGCCAGCAGTGTTGCACTTCCGGTCTCCTTGATGGAACGGATTTTTAGTATGTCAAATATAGCCTATATCCTATCCAGTAAAATAATACAGATCAGTGGTTGAGAGTATGAAGAAATTACAGGATGAATCACCTGTTTTGTTTTATAAACCGCAAGGGTTTCAAGATATTAAGTCAACAACGTTTGAAAAACAAGATTTTATTTTAATTATAATGACGAGTTTTTAGAAATCGCAATTGGTTGAATATGGACATGATAAGATTTGCATTATACAGTGTGTGCCATAAAGTTGGATCCATATAGGATTTTTTTTTTAATATTACCATTTGAAAAAAAAAAAGTCGTAGGGCCGTCACCTCTGGTTATTTCAAAACTTAAAATAGCCCATATCACATTTGACTACTAGCATTAGTTATCTGTGACTCTCATTAAAAAAAGGGATTTTTAAGCGATTTTTTAAAGATACTGCGAATTTGATAGATAATGCAAGTAGCCAACTTTTATATGGGTTATTTTAAGTTTTCAAATAAGTAGAGGTGAATGCCCCATGACGTTTTTTTTTTCAGACATAATATTAAAACAAATTCCCATATATGGACCCCACTTTATGGCGCTCACTGCATGTCACAGACGTGCCATGA